TTCTTTCATGAGATACCCAAGACATATGGTATAGCATTCGAACCTTCTCCTCTCCATATACAGTATAAAAATAGCACTAGTGAGAGAATGTTAAGAATACTAGTTACCAAGGTGCATACTCTACTACTAGATTCTAGGCTTCTGGATGAGCTATGGGCAGAGCCCATTCACACAGCCAACTATCTGCACATAGGAAGCCCTTCCTGTAGCATTGGTGGCAGAACACCATACAAACTACTCTATGGTACTATCCCAGACCTATCGCATCTCAAAATGTTTGGTTGTATAGCTTATAAGCTATTACTCAAGGAGCAAAGGTCAGGAAATTTTGTAGTGAGGGTAAGACCTTGTGCTTTCATCAGATATGTTCATAATACACAGAAGATTTGGAGAATCTAGGATCCTGTGATTGGAAAGACAGTACAAGTATCTGATATACACTTTGATGAGTCTGAATCCCTGAATGTTCTTAATAGTGATGTGCCAGAGTATACTGTTTTGAGAGCTCTGATAGCTGATAGTATGCCTGATGAGCTCGAAGCTTTTGAGTACACTAGTACTGAACATCCAGGACATATTGACTATCAAAGAGGAGGAATCCTAGAAGAGCCATCACAGACATAGAACACTCAGCAGGTCATTAAGCCTTCTGCTATTGCGAGCACAGAAGAAAAAGCAGTAAGAGTATTGCCCAAGTCACCTGCTTTACAAGCACCTGCAAGTTCACACATGCATAAGAATCATAGAACAGAAGCTCCCTTGAGGCAGTCAACAAGGGAAAGAAAAAGGCCAGCACGAGCTGCTGCGGTCATTGCAGCACATGTTGGGGGGACAGTTACAGAGTCCCAAGACGCATGTTTGGAGGAAGATCTGAGTAGCCTCCGAGAGGCTTTCACACATATCCACATGCTGGAGTGGGAACATACTATTCAAGCTGAGTTTACATCACTTGAGGAAAATGATACTTGGGAATATGAACAGGTTGAAAGTGCAGCAGGTAGAAAACCTATAGGCTGTAAGTGGGTGCTTAGAACGAAAGTAAACTTTGATGGGAGTCGGAGATACAAGGCTCGCTTTGTAATTAAAAGGTACAAGCAAGTACCAGGCATTGACTTTGAGGACACATTTGCTCCAGTTGCTAAACTAGTGAGCCTTTGGATGCTAATGACTCTCTCCACTGTCTATGGATGGCTTGTTCACCATATGGAGGTGGTTACTGCCTTTCCTAACCCAGCGATTGATCAAATTGTATCTATGGAGTTACTGGAAGGGATTGACTGGTTAAAACCTAGTCTAAGGAACTCGAACACTATTCAATGCAGATTGAAAAAGGCTCTCTAGGGGCTTTAGCAGGCACCAAGACTCTGGTTCCAACATATTGACTCTTTTCTTCGCAAGAATGGGTTTCGCCAGTCCAGTAATGAGCCAACCCTCTATATTCTTCAAGAATATGAGTCTACCCAAGGCCAAACTCCTGCAGCTACTTCCAATTCCTTATTCCTACTCCTATATGTTGATGATCTACTTATTGCAAGTAAGAACTCTGAGTTAGTCAAAAGAGTTAAAGGGTTACTTTCTACAACGTACCGAATGACCGATCTTGGTTTGGCGAGGCAGTTTCTCAACATTAAGATTGAGCGCTATTCTACTCCAAATAACGAAGACTCCTCCGACTCCCAGACTCACTCGAGATTTATCTACCATGTTCGTCTCAGTCAGGAACGGTTCATCAATGAACTCCTCAAGCGCTTTGGCATGGTTGAGTGTAACAGAATGAAAACACCATTAGAAACTGGTCATGATCTGTGAGTACAAGTTCAAAGCTCTCCTCTGGACTCGAACTCTGTGTCATCCTCACTACCTATTGACAGATACACGTTAATTCTAAAGGAATATTAGTCCTTGGTTGGGAGTCTTTTGTATTTTCATGTTGTCTATACGTCTAGATTTAGCTTTCGCGATTTCCATCCCAAGAAAATTTGCCTCCACACCTCTTTTACTCACCTGGAAGCTGCAAAGCGGGTGTTACACTATCTTAAAGCTACCAAAACTCTAGCACTATCATTTAATTCCAAGCAAGAAGAAGCCGAGATTGTGGGATTCTCGGATTCTGATTGGGGAGGTGATAGGGATAATCGGAAGTCCACATCTGGCTATGTTTTCACGATTGGGGGAACAGCTATATCTTGGAAGTCCAAGAAGCAAGCAGTGGTAGCTCTATCTAGTACTGAAGTGGAGTATATAGGGACATCAGAAGCTACACAAGAAGCAATTTGGCTTCAGCATCACCTTCTTGAGCTTACCTAATGCAATAAGCCTTCAAATCCGCAGCTCCTTTACGTTGACAATCAAGGAGCGATTAAGCTTACCGAAAATCCTCACTTTCACGAACAAACTAAATACATTGATATTAAATATCACTTCGTTCGACAGGCCTATGAGAACGGTCTCGTCTCAGTTCAGTATATATCTACCAACAACATGACAGCGGATATCATGACAAAGGCACTACCTGCCGAAAGACATTGGAATGGGAGAATAATGGTAATCTTGATTGCTTGGAAATTCGCGCTCTGTAATATATCCCGAAAGACAAATTATAATAAAAAACATACGGGATTCCAAAACCATCTCCTGTTCGCTGCAGGACCCTCTGCTTTCCCATAAAATTCCAACCAATAACAAGGGAAAGGGTATTCTTCCTCATAACAGGGGGAATATAGGGCCAAGACTCCCGCCCTCAGAGCCTTTTCCGCCAATAGCACTATCATGCTCCTGTACCTTTTGCCATCATCCCCACAGCCCCCAGGACGCCTAATGCACTCTTTCACATTCGAGCAAGTATCGCTTTCGAGCACCTTCCAGTAGCAACAATTACAGCTGCATACCCTCAGGGGTGACGGGAGAACTTCGATTTCCCCGCCTCTGCCACTCCCATCCTCCGCTTTCGTCTTCATTCCCCCCAGTTCCACCGGAAGTGCCATATCCGTGCTGTCGCTCCGCCATAAGCTAATATTTTGAACAAAAACTACTCAGTGGCATATCAACCTGGCGCAACATTGCATCGGAATCCCCCGTCACCTTCCGGGAGGGAACACGCCGGCGAGTAGTGTGCAATGCGATGGCCATGCATCGACAAAAGGGCTGCTAGTCGCTGAGTTGTTAGTTGGAGATCTGGCCGAACGTTCTCGAGGTGGGAAAGGGTATTATTAGGGTAGGCAACCATCCAGCTCACATGCTTCGGAAACATATCGGGTATCTGCATCGGCGGTAATTATCCGCTGTCGGGGGAGGGGGGGGGAAATCCCTCAGTAGTCCGTCCCGGAACGCACACCCCCGATAGAATAGATATTATGCTGGGCCTTTTCGAAAGCAACGTGGGATCCCTAGAGATACATTGCGCTGCGCTACCCGCTGCATACGCTTCTGGTGTTCATGCAACAGCCGCACCAACAGTCTATGTACTCGACACTTTTTAAGTTTCCGGAATGGTGTGGTATAAGTTACGGTAGTAGGTCAAGGAGGGTACCTGTGCCTCTCTCAGTGGGGGTGGGTCACAAGGGGGTGGAGAGGATGTCTCCTGCATGATAGCAAACATTCCCGCGCTCTCAATAAAGTTACAATAGATATATCTAACGAGTCAGATCTTATGATACAAAAAAACGGTTGTGATATCGTACTACATCTAACAAATCCAGGCACCCCCGAAAAATTCTGATGACACTCTCTTGGCCCACGGTGGAGTCAGCATTGACCTTACAACTAAATATTTTCCTCACCCCCGCCTGACTTATAATCTAACGCAGAAGTAATCATGTCTCTGAAGCATTTACCAAACGAGATCATCTTGTAGGTTCCCGAAGCTTCAAGCATCCTGCCACCGGTGCCGTCCTCCCTCGAATTCATCAGCCATGGATCCGCAATGCCTTTTATGCCCACCTTGATAAAACACACCTTCAGCACCGCTCCGAAACGTACGGCGTCCGAGCTATTTACTCCGCAGTCCAAGGTGGAGACATCACGAGAGTAGAGTATCACACCAAGCCTCCCCCGGACGCTCCGTCCAAAACTACTAGTAACGCGCTCCTTAACCATACCGTCAACACAGAAGCGCTCATATTATTGGCGCGCTTTTGCTCTTCGGTGGTTCGGGGAAGACAGTAGGACTAACGGCCCATGAGGCACATCATTATGAACTAGAGCACATATCAGAAAGGCGGAGTCTCTTGCGCGGAGCCTGGGGCCCGGGGGTACGCCCCGCTCCACTCCCCGCTCTAGCTCCCAGGAAGAGATTGTGGGAGCGTTGCTGCCCCACAAAGACGCTGGTGTGAATCCCCCCAGTTTAGGCGGTCATGTTGGGCCACATTTTACTGCAATGATTCCAAGAGCGGAATTGTACCTGGGTCTCTTATTAGAAGACAGCAGCCTACGTGATGTAAGTGAGAGGGATGTGGAAGGCTGGACTCCTCTAGATTGAGCGGTACGGTGTAGTCGAGCGAAGAGCGTAGGAGCGAGACTTGCGAATGAAAGAGAGTAGTGGAGGGTCCGTGCTTGGAGATTATACTGTCAGTATCAAACAATATCAGTTGCCAGTTGCCTTGCGGAGGACCCGACCGGGGCCATTACCCCCTGTGCTGGCCTGCGCAGCCTCCAGGGAATGGGGGTTTGTGATGCACGAGTATTGGGTTGTGACCACTCTTAATCCGATATTTGGTAATCCAGTGATCTCATGATAAGGTTATTAGAGCGCAGATATCTAACGATCCGAAGAGCCGCTCGACAGCTTTCTGTACTAGATTGATCGCCCCAGCTCAAGGGTGAAGTATACCTTGTTTATTGGTATCCGAGGGAGGGGTGAGGTTTGTAAATTAGTTACTCTGGGTAGTGCGAGTATAGTGGCTCTTTCGGTGACCCCGATATATGGCAATTAAGGGTGTCTACTGCTGCACACATTGTAACGTTAACCGGACTTGTCTGCTCAGCCCGGATAATCTGGGACGTCGAGTTGATTGTTTCTTTTTTCTGGATAATTTAGACACATGAATTATCATATACAGGCTGATAACACTAGCCCATCCAAGGAGCAATAAAACCCTTCATTCTTCAATCTCGAGGTAGCGGGATAACCCATGAATCTTGTAGCCCTCTCCCCGCCCGAAGCTACGGATCTGGAACCTTCATCCACTGGCAGCTGTCAATCTCGGAGACTAATATGTGGCCGGCATGATCGATGTCCTGCCTCCATCAACAACCACCACGTTCCCATTCAAGTATGCTCCAGCTCTTCCAGCCAGGTACAGTACCGCGCCAGCCATATCATTATCATTCTCCGGCCTCTTCAACGGGATTTCCCCGGGCGGGTAATCTCCCAGTTTATTCTTATTTCCCGAGTCCATAGTCCCTTGTCCTGCGGTAATTTCTGAGGGGAATACTGTCTTGGGTAGTTAGCAATCGTCACATGCGGATGGATCTTCTACTTGATATGGTTCAAGAGAGGGGGAGGGTACACCCTGGGGCGATCACGTTCTTTTGGATACGGATTAGCTAGGGTCCAGAGAGCGATTGAAGATATATATGAGGGGTAATACGGAGCGAATCCCATACTGCGGGAAGTGAGTCGCGAGCATTTTAGCAACGTGTGTCGCCGCGGCTTTACTGGCGTGATAGGAGTAACAAGAGCTTATATTTCTGAGGAAGCTAGCGATCGAAGTTACGGTTATGATCTGCCGGAAGTGAGAAGATGAATTCCCTGTGCAGTGGATCCGATATTGTAATCGAGGGAAGGGTGAACGGAAGGCGGTGCTGTACCTGGCTACTCTGCTCCACAGCCCCAAGTTTGTTGCCTTGGTCCAGCAATCCCAAGAATGCGATGCTGGTAAACCATGCGCCAGTGACATTAACTATTGCCCTCCTCCCTTGGATCAGCATCATACGAAACCCCCCCTCCCAAGGGAGTCACCAGCACACATACCCCTAAAGGTATCCTCCCACTCCTCCATGGAATCCTCCCACAAGAACTTTTGCACATCCTCTATACTCTTATACTTTTCCGCCTCCGGGAGGTTTTCGAGCGGCGGTGGCCTGGGAAGGACGTTGTGCCTTCTACCGCACATACCGGCATTGTTGACTAGTAAGTTGACATATCCGACATCACTCTCGATAGTCTTGACGATAGCCGCCAGCGATTCTTTCGAAGTGACTTCCCCCACGAGGGGGATTATATTGCCGTGTTTCTGGAAGCCAACGCCGCGACATCAGAGTTTGGAGTTTTGATATGAGGACGGGAATACATACGGAGTGCACTTTCGCCGCGTTTTCCAAAACGTCCTTGCGACGGCCGACGATATAGACTTTTGTCGCACCATTATGCTCCAGGGCGGTTGCGATCATCAAGCCGATTCCTGATACCAATTCCGTCCCTTAGTCACGGCTCATTTGTCGAAATGCCCGCAGTGTTGCTGAACACACCTGTGCCCCCACCCGTGACCACAGCCACCAAACCTTTCGCCGAGAAAAGCGTGCTCGCTTGAACTTCTGACATTGTAACGAGTCGTTGACGCCACGCTGCAGCGCAAAGCTATGATCCGTTTATCCTCACGGGACTGCGTTTTGGTGGAAGGTTTTTGTCAATGACGATGCCTTCCTCGAGCACTGTACGAGTACCTTTTCACCAAGTCTTCCCCGCACCGTATCGCGATATAAGTTAGGTGGTGTGATTCCCGGCGCCCGTTTATTATGTCCGTAGATAGCCGTGTATTGCCTAGTTTTCTGGACTCCTTGTACGAGTACACAAGTTGTACTGTAGACTACTCGAGGACTCCCGCGGCCGAGTTGAAGTTGGTCACCTTTTATGGGAGTGTCCAATTTCAACTCGGCCGCGGGGGCACTGCAAGCTGCAAGTACCGGGTGCACTACTGTAATGGCAAACGGAAGAATTGTCTGCGGCACTTGCACTTGCATCAGTGGGATTTCCCGTGATTTAGGCAGCACGGGGTACTAATTTATTTCGCTCGAGCATTGGCTGTACTGGTACTCGAGTAGAATCGACGAGCACGGCGGATTAGCATTGTATTTACAAACGGTAGGAGTCCGTTATAATAGGACACTGTTCCATTGGGCCCCTTATATTTTCCCTCTAGGCTTTTCAAATATTGTCTCCGGAATATTCTCATTTCATATTTCGTCATTGTGAGTTCAGCTGTGAACTCTGTTTACCCCTTTCTCGGTTTTAGTTACTTGCACTAACTAGGTCTCTCTCAGGTCTCGCACATTCTACTTTTTTGACCATCGTGTTAAGTTACTCGTACAACTTAGTCTAACTTTCGTGGAGATTAACCTTACGGCTCGGGCAATAGGTAGCACGTTGGAATTCATACCGGTATGACTACTTGACCAGTTATCAGCCCAGTCGCAACTCTTCAAACACTATTGTAACCCTCTAGCGCTGTACAGCGACACCACAGGTACGATACAAGTGCTGTAGTCGAGCGCCAGGTACTAGACCAAAAACCAATGCATCACGCGCGGTACCGAATTCGATACCGGCACCAGTATTCCATGGTATGAGTATCTCGAGTACAGGGCAGAAAAAGGAGAAAACGCCATGATTCAATCCCGACTCTCCGCGAGCAAAAGCAAATCCACCGATAAGGAAAAGTAAGGAAAAGGAAGGAACGAGCCTTCCCAACTCAATGGTCCGGGCTGCTGCTCGCGCTCGAATAAAAACAAAAAACCGTTTTTTTTTTCCGCCACCTCCTCGAGCCCCCCCCCCCCCGAATCCCCGATCGAGTGACACGAGATGTTGGGTTGCATCATTCATGAAGGGCAGGTGCCAGACATCGTTGCGAGCCAATCACTAACCTTCGCGCACACAACGATCAAGCATTGCCGGCCGGGCGGCCGGGAAAACAGTTCGGTACTATACTAGTACTGGCGCCCCTCTCGTGCACGTGGACTCCAGTATCATGTACCGGTACTCGTACTTGGGTACCCCAAGTCTCGACATAGGGGGAGCAAGACCGGAGCGTCCTGGTTAAGCCATTTTACAAAAGGTTTGATGAATTGAATCGAAGGAAAAACACAGAGGTTATTGCGAGGGGCAAAGGTTTGAGCGCGATAACCGAATACATCACAGGAGGGATGGTCTATTGCCGTTAAGTTGGGGTGATCGGCTCTGCGGTATGGATGCATGTAGACTAGGAATGATGAAGGAATGGAAGACTTGAGGGATCCACTGCAGCTAAAATCCCAATCTCCGGAAACTACCCCAAATCCTGTGGATTCCATCCCCTCGTCCCAAGTCCGGAATCCTGAAAAAAATAATCCTCCCTCCTCCGACTAAATCCGCCCATCGCAGTAACTTGAATACACACAAATATTGCCTCTCCTAGTAAAGTCGGTCTCATTTTTCTTTTTATTTGTCTCAACCGAGGGCTGAAAGACTACGAGTATTTTTCCACCCTTGTTCTCCCCCTAATCCAAAGGGGGAAATTCTAGACGTCTCAGCGCGAGGCCCAATTACGACTAATCCCGCCTCTCCGAGAGCCATAGAGAAAAAAGAAAAAAGAAAAGAAAAGCACCAAAACCTTACCAGAGGAGGCAACTCCAACGACATACCACCATTTGACCTCAAACGGTCTTCGTGGACACCCCTTTGAGAGAACGAGTACCGGTAAGGCCCTAATACCATGTCGCACAGATAACAGAAACGCCCTCCTCCTCCTCCGCTTCTCCCTCCCACATCCCTACGACACCCACCACGAACCACAAAAACCGCAAGAAGGAGAATGCGGGGGAAACCCGAATTGGGGCAAACGGAGAACACGGAAGGTTGCGACGCCTACTATACGAGTAGTGCAAGTACCGCGCTGTAATAATATTATGGTATTATAGGTACCATAAACGGGAAACTCACCGGGTATCGGAGGTCAGATGTGGGTTGGATATCGGATTAGGATTGTGGGCGGGGGAGGGAGAAGGGGGCGGGGAGGGCCCATGTCGATAAAACGGTCATTTGGCACATGTTTCTTTTTTTTTATTTTTTTTTTTATTTTCATTCGAAAAATCCCGAGTTTCGAATCGCCACTCTCCTTAAATTATGTCCGTGCACTCCGAGAGGCGAGATTTCAACTCTGAATTTGGGCTTCTCGAATAAAAAATAATTGTAGGCGCTCAATGGCAAATACGGAGGCTTTTTGGGGAAGACTGTGGATTTGAGCTGTGCCTGTTGTAGGTGTATCGCAGCAAGACCAGATGTCTGAAGCTTTGGTAAGTTAAGCACGATGCAAGACTGGGTATGTGTCGCAAATGTGCCATTAAGGTACTGGTACCAAATTCTGGTGCAAACAAAAGTCGATTCTATTACCCCATGGCCGCTTTATTCGAAGGATTCAGCAACGGGGAGAGAAAGCGTTTTTCGAGTGCCAAATTTCGAGCGTCCAGAGATTCTTATGCGAAAACGGCATTACATACACCAAAGCCCGTCAACTCAGAATACCTGCATCAATGTTTTTCAATCCTAGGACTGAACTAAATTGTCTCTAATAAGAGCTGGAGTCAGCTCGACTACATAAGACAGAGCAACGTTGAGCCGCAGAATACTTGCGCACATCTGGAAAGGTTAGTGTCATTGCTCTAGTGATGTCATTGTTCAAGTTATGACAGCCTTAACAAGACCTCGCCAATTAATTGTAAATCTTTTCTATTCTCCAGCTCCAGCTAGTCTATGTACTTGAGTAGGTATTCGAGTTCGCAGAGCGTGTGGTGGAATAGGGGAACTGGAAGCTGGAATAATGGTGGGTTGCTGGTTTACTGTAAAGTCGAGTGAAGTGGAGAATAGGAAGGAGCCAGAGAGATAAAATGACTGGGTTGGTGGGGGGGCTATCAAAGCTTCTCGGCGCATCCTTGATGTCTACCTTCCATCTTGGTATGATAGAGCGCCCGAACAGAGTTCTGCGAAAATGTTGTCTACCGGTATCTATCATACCTGATTGTGAGTGACACTCATGGATTCGTGAAGCCTACTCCCGCGTAACACAGACCATGCACACACAAGCTCCCTTTCACCCGGAACATGTCTTCCGTTTGCACCTGCTCGTTCGCTTACTCCCATATTACTTTGCGCAGGAGAAGAGTAGAGGTCTCCTATCAGGATAACGTCAGACGCCACAACCCCCTCCCCCACACCCCACCATCTCCACTCTTGGTCCAACCGTTGGTGATACCGGTACTTAGTCGGCCGGCTGGTCGACCAGGACGAACGGCAAATAATGAGAATCGCAAGCCAACCAACCAACATGCTCCAGGTACCACAAAAACCCTAACCTATCCTAGCAACTTCACTGGTATGGTAGGGTACAACACTTTAAGCGCCTCCAGTCCTTGTCAACCATTCCATCATGCAAATCAACTCTATCATAGCTTGTAGAATCACAGCCCAATCTGTGACACCCGACACTCAATATTCATGCTGTTCGTGGTTATAAAATACATGAACTGATATTTGGCTCGGATCCATCCAACGAGAACGCCGTCTGGACAGATGGGTTAGGTTTGATTGGAGGGTGGGAGCACCGGTGGCAAAAATCCATCCCTAACCCACCCAAATCCCATCCTATTGACGAAGTGAGTCGCGCATCATTCTCTTTCGAATCGTGAATTGTGAACCGTGGATGCAACGTTGTGCGACGGAAGCGTAATCCTCACGACACCCGCCTGGGTCAGGATGTGTGAGCGAGTGAGCGAGGGAAAGTCGAGTCGAGGGTTTGGAGACGTCATGGTGACTTTGTCGCTGGCTATGTCGTGAGAGTTACCGGACACGTTTGTGGTCGTCGTGTTGTTTTTGGATAGTTATTTAACTTAACGTAGTTAGCTTCGTATCTCGCGGGGCGGCTTGGCGGTCGAGTAAGAGGTACTATTGATGGCAATGGCGATTAGGATAGAGGCATTCAGCCCCAGGATTGAAAAACGCTTATGCAAGCTTTTCGAGTTCAAGAACTTTGGTGTTGTGATGCATTCTTTTGCACTCAAATCTGACGGACCCACTCAAAACCTAGCAGTCGAAAAACGCATTTTCGACCCCGGGGTCAATGCCACTAATGGTAATAGCGACGAGGGATGGAGGATGGCGGGGTGTCGATTGCTATATCCTGTGGATAAAGGTATAGTGGACCAAGAACGAAGGTGATGAATACGTATAGCATTGATGTGTCCATCACTGTGGATCGTGGCACAGCATCGCTCAGCGTAAGAACCTTAGCAACAATCCTCCCAACAACCACTAAAACCCAAAACTAGAGGCCTCCGAGTGATATACCATGAATCCCTTCCACTCTCGAATCGTAGGGTATATAAACGTAGAAAGAACGTAGTATGAGAGGAGTTTTTTTTTGGGTGGGAGGGGGGAGAAGAAGGAGGAAGAAGGGAAGAAAGAGGAGCGAGTGAATATATAACAATTCCCTTCTCTCTACTTCCCCACAGCGACATCAATCAGGACAAAACCTTCCCATCTTATGCTTGTGAGCTTATGATAAGTTACCGGTGCAAATACATGGTCCACTCTCCGTGGCATGCTCCATAGCTCGGTGCTTGGCTGCAGCGATCCGCATACATACGCCACGCATGCCTTTCTAACGGTGAACGGTGGATACTTGC